ATACCCCAAAATGCGCCTCGCTTGTGCGTCTAGGCACACCTCAGACATGCCTTTTAAATCACTGATCGAACCTCCTCTCCACCCTCTCTATAAGGGGTCCCCAAGTGCTAACTGATACAGATTTAGTCCCAACTGGGAAGCCTAAATAGGAAAAAGGTATCTCCCCTATCTAACACTCCAAAGCTGCAGCAAACTGCACCATCTCTTCCTTGCTGATCTCTCCAATTGCAATCAAGACACTTTTTTCCAAGTTCACTTTCAAACCTGTTAGTATCTCAACTTTGGCCAACAAAGCTTAGATTTAACACCTGATCCACATCTGCACCAAGGAAGATAAGAGTGTCATCAGCAAATTGTAAATGATAAATGCATGGTCCCTCTGACCTACTTAAAAGCCTTCAATCCAGCCCTGTTGAAACCCCCTTATTCAGCAGCAAGTTTAGCACCTCCATGACCAAAACAAACAGCAAAGGGGATATTGGGTCCCCTTTTATCAGCTCCCTAGACATTTGAAAAAACTCCAAGGACTGAGAAGGAAACAGATGAAATACATCCGAACATCCAGCCCCAAATATTCCTCCAAAACCCATCAGCCTTTTGAACCTCTCCCAAAAAAACCCCACTCCACATGGTCATAAGCTTTCCCGGTGTCTAGTTTACACACCATACCAGGTCTCCCATTTCTTAATCTCGAGTCTATGCATTTGCAAGACACCATCACCTCATCCACAATTTGTCTTCATTCCACAAATGCCATTTGGGTTTCACCCACCACCTCATGTAGCACCTTCTTCAATCTCATTGATAAGACCTTAGCCAATATCTTGTAAGGGATACCTATCAGACTAATTGGCCTAAAATCATTAATATTCACAGCCCCAATCTTTTTTTGTACTAGTGAGATAAATGTTGCATTAGCTCTTCTCTCCAAAGCTTTATTTTCACAAAATTCCTTAATCACCTGCATAAAATCATCCTCTAAAAAAGGTCAATACTGTTTTATAAAATTAAAGTTAAACCCATCAGGCCCCAGAGCTTTATCCCCATTAATCCTCTTTAGGGCCTCCTTAACTTCGTCCACCTCAACCTCCCTCTCCTACCATCCAGTTGAAATCTCATTCAATTTTTTTGTTTCAACATCTCCCAAAGATAACCAACACAATAGCCTTGGAGAGAAGAGCTTCTTTTAAAAGTCCACCACTAACCATTGAATTTCTTCCCAGTTCTCAGTCACTTCCTCCCCTACCTGAACTCTTGTGATCAAATTCCTTCTCCTCCCACTTGCATTGTGTGGAAGAAAGCTATATTTTTATCTCCCTCTTTTAACCAGATTGCCCTTGACTTTTGCCTCCATCTCACCTCCTCTTTCACTAACAACCTTTCTAATTCTCTTTCTAGCGCCTCCTTCTCCACCTTAGCTTCTCTCGAAAAGTCTTGTTCTTCCTTCAATCTCTCAGTCTAACAAGCTTCTCCAAAATCTCTTTCTTTCTGCCTTCATTGTTCGCAACGTCTCCAAATCTCCTTAAGTTATTCTTTGATCAACTGTAGCTTCATCACCACCCTAAACCCAGCTGAACCCTCCACTTGTAATGCTCTCCATTTTTCCTCAACCCACTCCAAAAAGTTTGGTTGAAGCAGCCTGACATTTTCAAACCAAAATGGCTTCAAGCTCAATACCTCAACAAACTTTCTTAGTAGAATTGGTTTATGGTTTGACATATACATAGCTAGGGATTCTTGCACCAGATCTCCTCATCTCCCACATGTTCAATACAATCCCCAGAGAGCAGAAACCTATCCAGCCTTCTAAGAATAGCTAGACACTGGCCATTTGACCAAGTGAACCTCCCACCATTCAGCGAAGGTCGATAAGCTCATGGCCTTTGATAAATTCCTCAAGCCTCCTCATTCTCTGTCTTACCCTTCCCAATTCCTACTAGAACTCTACTCTCTCCCCTTCCTCGTTTAGCCCGTGTACATTCGTCACGCCCCAAGTCCAATCCCCATTAACCTCTTGCAGGTATACTGACACCGAATAAACCCCAACCATTTTCCCAACATTCCTAAATGCCCCTTGCCAACCCAATTTCATTCAACTCCAACCATTCTCCACTTCCCCTACCCTACCCCAGATTTCATTCCCCATTCTTATGTCAAAAGTTTCTAACTTTGTTTCCTACAATAGGACCACTTCAGGACTATGCTTTCTAATCAAATCACTCACCAAAGCCCCCCTTCTCTCAAACCCCTCCCCCCACCTCCTGTCTCCTCAATGCCTCAGCACAGCACCCATCACTCTTCCTCTGCAAAGCAATCCTCCTCACCCCCTTCTTCGTTCCAGCTCTTTTCTTTTTACTTTCTTCACTTTTATTTCTTTCAAATTGGTTGGAAGCAATCTTAGTGAATCCTTCACCTCCCCAAAAAAACAAACTGAGTGCCTTTCCTACTGCAACCTCTCAGTCCACCATTTTGTTTAGTTCTATCTCCCCTTTTTTAATTGTGCCATTGCTTCCTCTCTCACCTTCCCCCGCCACTTCCCCTTCTTTTCATTTCTCCCTAACCCTTTCTAATGTTTTCTCCCCAACTACTATCCCACCCTTCTTCACTACTCTTCAAGCAGCCTCCTTGTTTTGGTCACACCTCCTTCCTTATTCCTTTCTCTATGATCTGGGTGGAATCATTGGCATCTCCCTTATCCCTGCTCCCTCTTCTTTCCACTGTCATAACCTTGCTGCCTTTCTTGAACTTGGTTACTACCCAAACCCATTCTTCTCCACCCGCCCTTCTCCCCCTCCTAACCTTTCCTCTTCAACTTCCTCCTCTTTCCATTCTAACCCTTCATTTGCCTTCCTCCACATCTCTTCACTCGCCACGTGTCCATCTTTTATCCCCTCATCTTGTGGATTCCCACTTTTACCCTCCACATTCTCCACCTCCTCACCTTCTTCTTTTCTCGACGGACTGTTCGTCTCCCCCTCTACTCCCCTCCCCTATTCCATTCGATTCTTCTTCCTCCTCTCCAGCTCCATTGTCGATTCAATGTTAGCACTATTCCCACTGAACTTAGGAAATGGATTATCCCCCCTTCCACTAATATTCTCAGCTCATAGACCTCACCCACAAATTGCAAATCGACATTGCTTGGGATACCTGATACCTCCTTCACCACCACTAGTAATCTCGCCATATCCAGCCTATCCTCAGTCTTCTCAGTACCAAGATGCTTGCTAGTACTTTGGGTCGAGATGACATAAAGATAGTGTGATCAATCACAAGACGTTGCATCATGGCGGTCCTTCTACTCTTCCTCCCCTTGTACAAGTGAGAAAGCAAAAGCAAGAGTGACAATGTCAGCACTGAGAATATGTTGCCTAGTGAAGTCAAACTCCGGATTCAAACCAGCCAAGAAATCAAAAACTCTATTCTCTTCAATGTACTTCCAATACTGTTCACCATCTTCAAGGCCCTTCCAATTAGAGCTTTTAAGTGATCCATTTATTCCCAAATAGACTGTAGAGAAGAAAAATATATGGCCACTGATCTCTCCCCCTGATGCATACTGCAAGCCTCCCTCCTAAGTTGGTAAACTCTAGCAGTATTGTTAACCTGGGAGTACGTGCAACAACCCTATCCTAAATATCTTTAACGATTGGAAGGAGCATGATTACAGGCAATAAGAGGTTGCATTGAACAAATCAGCCATGACATTACAAGTGAGCTATCCTACTCCTAGTTTGCAAATTTCAGGTCCTCAGGTTTTGGCTCTACCTTCTTGCTTGTAATGAACCCCAGTTTACCTCTCCCTGTGATGGTAAACTTGGCTGATTAGGACCACTCCAAAAAGTTAGTCCCATCAAGTTTGACCATGGTTATCATTCCACTGGAAATATTTGCAAAACCCAAGAGCATACTAGAACCCATCTGCACCTCATTTGATGATTCCATGCTTTAGGAAAACACCTTCCCACCAACCAAAAGGACCCACAACACTCAAGCAACACTCAACCAAAAGAACCCATCTGTCCCACCACTTGGTTGGTGACAAAATAGAGGGAGAAGAAAATCTCCAAAAAACTCTTTAGGGCTTAGAAAAGTATGGGACCACTTCCCGTCATTCCCAAAATGTAAACCAACCCAAATGCTCTAGGTTTTGCAGCAGAATACTCCATTAAACATGCTAGACAAGGCTCAACATCAGATCTAGAATTTCTGGAAACTTTCTCTTGACAATTCCATAATATATCAAAAAAGCATCAAACAGTTGCAAAAGTCATACCAAAAATCTTTTAAAATCAAGGGGAACCAAACCAGGTAGGATTCATAGACTGCCACCATCACCTGTACGGACAGCTGACATCACCCAGTGGCGGTCTGGCATTAGTAGGTCATCCTACAAAAGAAGATCAGTAGAAAAAAGGCTTCCCAAGAGCCTCTACCTGGCTCTAATACCAAGTTGTTAATCTAGGGTTTATAGAGAGAGAGGTTGAGAAGAAGAAGAAGAGAGTTTCAAATGAGAGGTGTGTGTTATTGTTCACACCTCCAAACTTAATATTTATACCCTGATGAGAAAATTACAAGAAAGCCCTTACTTGGGCACCTAAATACAAAAGGGCAATGGAAAGACCAAAAACACCCTTGCCCAAGCAATCTCAACACTTTCAAAAAGAAATAATGCCCCCACTTAAGAAACAAAATAAAATTGACGATAATACCCCACTTAAGTAAATAAAATGGGAAGAAAATTATACCCCTTTTCTGACCAACTAAATCCCAAACAATATGGTCAAATTTGGGACTAAGAAAGATAAATAAATAACAATATTACTTCCAACACAAATAAAGTACATGCAAAACAATGCAAAGATTGCTTATTAACGAAATAACACATTCATAAACAAAACAACATTGATCAAAAATTACACAAGTGCATAGTCAGCAATAACAATAAAAATAAGGTTTCAAACAAATCCAGATATTATTTCCATGTTCAAGTGGCTTACCTCAAGCATACCACTTCTAACAGCAGATATTGATACATCAATGAGAAAAAAATATAGTGGCGGCATTGGAGGCCGCACCATATATTCTGTCGGAGCAACAAATTCCACACTACCCTTTGTAAGTTCAGGTCGTTGATCAATATCAATTCGTCTACCAGTCGCATCCAAGTGTGCAAAATATTCACCAGGAACTGAAAATGGTAGCCAAAATTGATTAGCTTTTATGTTGGAAAAAGTAGGGAACCTAACAAATTGGCATCTGATCCTCTAGGGTTAAAAATGCCTACCTAGATCGCATTAGAAAATTCCGACAGGAAGATTTCTTCTTTACTTTTTCAAAAAAAAAAGAGAGAGATAAAGGAGGATTTCTTCTTTGATATAAAAAGGAGAGGCATTATTAAACTCTATTGACTAAAAAATGACTTAAATAAATTCAGGTCACTAGTTCTATTTGTTGGAATCACCAACTTATTTTGCATTACACGATGTGTAATGTAGGATAGCAAGAATGCAAGATCATAAGCGGACATGAGGTGCTACCAGAAAAAGGCTAACTTTAAACCATGTAGAGTTATTGGTGCCATTCATATTTCTACATAGCAGTATTTTTATGCCAGCTTCAAACCAGATTTCTTTTATTTTTAGCTTCATAACCAGATGATTGTGCCATAAACTAACATAGGGTATACCTTGTTCAGAAATGGATGTATTATGTTTCTATGCCATTCGCTTGTCCAAATATCATTGATATTTTAAATCTTTCTTGCACATAAAAGATAGAAAATTAGTTCAAAATTACCATCATTAAGCAGAGAACAGATGTTGCAGCGCCATTTTCTTCCTCCATCTGTAAACGTAACATAGGGATTAACATAAGTGCGACATCTTCTACACCGAATAATGCCAGTTGGTCCAAAATTAACTATAGGTACTTCCTCCTGCACAAAGATAAAGAAACAGTTGACAAGTATATCAATGTAGAAATAACAGCAATTTATAGGACATTTAAAGTTCTAAACCAATAGAACTAGCCATACTGAGCAGCAGCAATACTGACCCCATCAGGTGCTTTGGCAAGAGGATGAATAACCACTCCAAGAGGAAAATGCCATCTCGAAAGCAATGATTGGGAGTTTGGTATTGCACTTGTTGTAAGCCGTAAATATCTTAAATGACAATTTAAGGGATACATATTGGCTAAGGAACTTGGCGCCACATCACCATCCAAAGGCCTAGGCAATGCTTTGAAATCAAGTCCAGGATCAATTGATCCTGGAGCCGACCCAACTGATAGTGACTGAAACTCCTCTACCAAATTTTGTATGCCACCAACAGGAGGCCCCCCACCAGTATGCTGCATTTGTTCCCTTGAACTTAGACCCACAGGAGCTGCCAGGGGTGGGGGTGATACATAACCTCCTTGGTGAGCAAGAAAGGGAGGAGACTGCACTGGTGGAACTTGTGAAACCAGGTTAGCTTGTCTAGTGGGATATCCATGTAAAGATGACTGTGAAGCTGGCCTGGGAGCAATAAATGATGACTCTAAAGGAGAACTGGGAAAACTCCCTCTTGGTGGTTGAAGATTCAAACTTTGAGGTGGTTGTCCCATAGGCACTGATGGAATCTGAGGTTGTGGGTGGAAGGAACCAGGTGGAGCTAGAACATGCTGCCCTGTAGAAGGAAGAACTGGTGGGAGTAAAACAGGCTGCCCAGTAGGTGGACCATTTGCGCTGGATATCAGTTGAGTTGATGCAGGACCAGGAAAACGTTGATAAGTGCCTAAATTTGGTGAGGCATAAGCTGATGGTGGAGAAGACATAGAAGGACCATTAAATCCAGCAGGTGTGTTAGCTCTATAACCAGAGCCCTCTGATCCCACCACAAGCCCAGAGGATAGAAAGGGCATCGTTGTCTGTGGAGCAGCTGTAAACGGTGAGATGGCAGGTCTTCCTGGGTAAGTGGATGGTCCAGGCCTTTCACTCGCCATTGGTTGTATTTCACTTACTTGTCCTTTTGCTTGTTATAGGCCACATCTGGAACCTGACAACAAAAATAAACATCTCAATAAAATGTCTGCACTTGATCATAATTCATAAAGAACAGAAATATATATACATAATAAAATTCTTAAGACTCTGTTTATAATGACTTTTTGAACTGTATGTTTTATTGTTTTGTGTTTTAGTGGATAAAATAATTAAATAATTAAATATCTGAGGGTATAATGATCAACCAACTTAGCTTCATCCATTAAGGTGCTTATAATAGATGCAAGCCCTTAAATGCTTCGCGGATTTTTCTCTTTTGTTCCTTCTTTTTACTTTTCAAAATCACTCCACAGAACTGTAGTTATAGAACTTCTCTTGTAAGAGAAATTTGAAAGCATAGAAATCAGAAATACCAAAGTTTTCATGAGAAAAAAACACCACTTCGATTGTTACACAAGGGGGGTGAGAGATCATGGGTTGTGAGAAACAACCAATATTTATGGTCTAAACACACAATTTTAGCTGTTAAAGGTGTGTTGGCTTGCGACTTGTGCTTTTAAAACACTGACCTGTACTATTTATGTGTCAACCATGCCTATCTATTTTGTTTGGACCCACCATCTAGGTGTTAAACAACTCACTTTATCTAAAAAAATGAAACCCACAATTATTAATATAAAAAAAAAAGAACAGAACCCACATCAATGTAATGTATTGGAAGTCTTTGCACTAGGTTTTCATTTGAGATTTTTTTTTTTTCTTTTCTTGAAAATGCTAGGTATTGAATTCAAAATTATCTATCCGAAAACTTACATACCCAATAAACACTAAGGCACTGTATATTCAGAATATATAAGAGTATATCTTAACTAGCAATGCTGTTTACAAAAAGAGTATTAGTAAAAACCGTTGAATAATAGGCCAAGATTGGAAGGAATGGATTAGACCAGGCTGTTTGAAGAACAAGTAAATTGGTTAGAAATAGATTTTAGTGAAGAGGAGATCAGACAGACGGTGTTTTCAATGGATAGATCCAAAGCACCTGGTCCAAATGGCTGCACCATGACTTTCTATTAGGACTGTTGGGATGTGGTTAAAGAAGACCTTGTTGAGGAGTTTCATGAATTTGCAAACAATAATAAGGTAAGCCCTGGAGTTAATGCTACCTTCTTAAACCTAATCCCAAAGAAGATAGATGCAAAGGATCCAAAGGATACTAGGCCAATTAGCTTGGTGACAAGCACCTATAAAATCCTAGCTAAAGTGTTATCTTTGAGGATTTGAGTAGTGTTGCCCTCCATCATTAGTCAAGTACAAGGTGCCTTCGTGCAGGGAAGGCAAATAACGGATCAGATCCTAATAGCAAATGAGTGTGTGAAGGACATGAGAAAGTCGGGCAATCAAGATTTTGTTTGTAAGCTGGATTTAGAAAAGGCCTATGATCTTGTGGATTGGAGCTTTTTACTAGAGGTCCTTGCATGTTGTGGGTTTGGAGATAGATGGTGCAATTGGGTAAAGGATTGTATTAGTTCCTGCCATTACTTAATTTTGATTAATGGGGTGTGGTCAAGGATTTTTTCCCAGCACGTAGAGGCCTTAAATAAGGTGACCCCCTCTCCCCTTTTCTATTCACCTTAGTTGTAGATGTCTTCAATAGATTAATTTATAAGGCAGATAGGGAAGAGGAAGTGAGAGGTTGGAGGGTAGGAAGGAACAATGTCCGAGTGACCCACCTATAGTTTGTCGATGAAATCATAATTTTCTGTGAAGGGGGTGATAGGCAAAATGTGAGGAATTTCAAAGCTCTGTTATAGCACTTTGAGAATGTCTCCAATTTGAAGATAAACATGGACAAGAGTTGTGTGGTGGATGTTAATATGAATGAGAGGGATCTTGAGTCTGTGGCAGATTGTTTAGGTTGTCCCAATTTGAAGATAAACATGGACAAGAGTTGTGTGGTGGATGTTAATATGAATGAGGGGGATCTTGAGTCTGTGGCAGATTGTTTAGGTTGTCCCATTTCTTCTTGGCCCTTGCAGTACCTAGGTCTCCCTCTAGGAGCCAATCCAAAGGAGAGTAGTTTTTGGACCCCAGTTTCGAAAAAGTTTGAGAAAAGATTAGCTTCCTGGAAAAAGAACCATACCTCTCTAAGGGGCAGAGTGACCTTATTGAGAGCAACCCTAGCAGACCTACCGGTCTATTATTTCTCTATCTTTAGGATTCCTATTAGGGAGGCTAAGAAAATGGAGAGATCAACGAGAAATTTTCTTTGGGAGCTAGGGAAGGAAAAGAAAGATCATTTAATTAACTGGGAAATAGTTTGTAGGAGTAAAGAGGAGGGTGGATTGGGATTAGGAAGAGTTCTCAAGAATAAAGCTCTCTTAGGAAAATGGTTGTAGAGGTGGCCCATAGAAAGGGAGAGGATGTGACATGAAATGACAGCTAGTATACATGGTAGGTTGGAAAATGGATGGGATGCTGGTGTATCGCATCGAGCTACGTTGGCAACTCCTTGGAAAGCAATCCAGAGTATCCTCCCTCAATTTCTCAATTTTGTCAGGTATGATGTCAACTCTGTTAACTCTATTTTATTTTGGGAAGACATTTGGGTGGGTAGCTTTGCCCTTAAGGATCAGTTTCCTTCTCTCTATTCCCTTTCCCTCTACAAGGAAAAAGCTATCTGTCATTTTCTTCCAACACCTATCTCACCCTCCTTAAGCTGGGACTTTGGTTTTCGTAGGGGCTTGAGGCCTTGAGGGATGATGAACTTATTAGCGTTTCAGACCTATTGTCTCTTCTTGGCAGTGTTTTTTTGGACCCTCTTAGATTGGATGTGAGATTGTGGTCCCCTCATCCAAAAGGTTACTTCACATGTGCTTCCTTTTCTAAGGTTCTTTGCTCTTCCCCGGTACAGTTGGGTTTTTCGACTGAGGAGATATGGTATAGACCTGTTCCACCTAAAATTATTATTTTCTGCTGGGAGGTGTTTTATAGAAAGATCAATACCTTGGACTGCTTGCAGAAGAAAAGGCCTTTCATGTGTTTGTCCCCTAACTAGTGTGTACTTTGCAGGGCTAGTGGTGAGGATTGTTTCCACTTACTATTATCTTGTTCTTTTTCTATTGCTATTTGGAGTTGGATTTTTGCTTTGTTTGGGTGCAGGTGGAATCTGACAACAGATGTGTCAACTATTTGATCCTTCCTTTTTTGTGTGGCCCACAAAAAAAGGTAGAACTATGTGGAGATGTATTAGAGCAGTTGCCTTGTGGACAATTTGGGAAGAAAGAAATGCAAGGTTATTCAAAGAAAAGGAAAGAAGCATTCAGGCTGTAGAGGAATATATTTTGACCAGGGCCATTCATTGGTTGAAAACTCTAGACTCCTTTCACACCTTTTCTTTTGATGAAATTTGGAGAAACTGGATAGTTGTGGCCAATAGTCATACGAGGAAGCACAGGATATCTACAGTGTGGGTGCCTCTGTCTGAAGGTTGGGTAAAGCTGAATTTTGATGGTAGCAGCCAAGGAAATCCAGGCCCAATGGGGATAGGAGGGGTGCTAAGAGATAAGGACAGTAACATCTTAGACTTGTTTTCAGTCCCCACGGGAATAGGAGACTCTAATAGAACTGAGATATTAGCGGTTGTACAAGGTATTCAGATTGCAAACCAATTAGGAGTTCAGAACATGGTAATTGAAGGAAACTCCAAAGTTGTTGGGGGATGGTTGACAGGTCCAGGCTCAGCTATATGGCGATAGAGAGACTTATTGAGGAGAGTTAATTGGTTCACAAGAAGCATGACTATTACCTCTCTTTGGGTGGGAAGGACAGCAAATACCTTAGTGGATGGGTTGGCTAAGAAAGGAGCCTCAAGGGAACATTTATTTTGGGCTGCACTATAATTTTTATTTCTGTTTTAGCTTGATGTAATACTTTGATAGGAGAGGTAACAGCCCGTGCCTCTCCATGGGTATCTTGTAATGCTTTAATATAATAAAAATTAATTTTTATAATTTATAACTTAAAAGTATGAAAAATATAAATTAGATTTGAGTTTTTTTATCAAAATTATATTTGAGTTTTCATATATATCTTATATTAAAAAGAAGATTATAAGTTTTTTTGGGTTGTTTTATACCCATAATAATTAAAGAGCTTAATTAAGTGGTTATGCTGTTTCATTTAATGTAATAAAATAGCACTTTAATTGATCAAAAAAAATAAAATAGCACTTTAATTGATCAAAAAAAATAAAATAGCACTTTAATAATAAATATTTTTACATTAAAAGGTTTTCTGCAAGCATGACAGCACATCAAATTTGAAAATATATTTCGAAGGATGGTAGGCATTACCATGCATCATGAATGAATCACCGTTGACACCTTGGTTAGGTCTTGTAAGCCAACAGGTTTAACTAATTGAAACCCAGAACAGATGGAACCACCAAAAACAAATACAACCAAAATCTGATGCCAGAACAGAATGCAATCAGTGAATAGTGGTTGACACCTTGATTTCAAGCGCACAACAGCCAAAACAACCACCACCAAAACAAATACAACCAAAAAAGCTAAACCTAAACCAAAAATCCTTCATGATCTTCGCTATACACTTTTAACTATCGAAAAATCTAAGTAAATACCAACATAAGCATACTAAGTTTCCTGCTAAACCCTAAATAAACAACAAAAGTAGGAGTTAAGTAGGGAAGGAATTACCAAAAGCAAGAGACCAATATCCAATTCTCCTTGACTCCAATTGCAACCACAACCAGAGAGGAAATAGAACTAAAACCTAAAGTTTTAATCCAACTTGTTCACGCCCATAAATCCAACAGAGCAATGCTTAAGAATAAACTTACTCAGAGTTTTTTTCCTTCTCCCCAATTGCATATCGTGAGCCTCTCGCTCAAGCTTTGTTTTGCACTCTTTGCTGATCCTCCACCTCTCCCTCTCCCTTTCTTTTAGTCGTTCGCTCTCTTTTGCGCATGGTAGAGAGAAGAGAAAAAAAAAAAAAGGAAGAAGTAGGGCTGTCATCGGTACCCGAAGCCCGAGATCCATATAGTTGTTCATGGGTCGGGTCATGTCGGAGACATGGTGTGTTAAGTCCGACTCGGTTTTAATTGGTTTCATATGATAGACCCAGAACTGTCGGAGCTGTTGGTCGGGACAATCGGGTCTGACCGGATTAAAAGAGGTAGATGGAATGAAATTTGGCCCATAATCCGGAGTGCAAATGGATCAGATGATGATCCGATTCGAGATCCAGTCCTGTTTGATCGAATTTGAATCACCTTGTTCAATTCTTTGGATCGGATAACAGGATTCGATCAGATAATTCAGATTCCCCCATTTTTATATTATATTTTATAAATTTGTTATATTATTTTTTTATATAAAACATGTTATGAAAATAATTTAAAAATACATATATTTTTTTGTTTTTTATTTTATTTAAATTAGTATATTTATTTATTTTTAATAATTTATTAATTTAAAATAACAAATTGAATCGGATTAGGTCCAAAGATCTAACTTACCCAATGATTCGAATTCAAATCTAGTCCTATTATATTTAATTGAATCTTCGGATTAAATCGAATCTAACATGAAAAGTATCGAATCAGATTCAAATATATCTTAATTCAAATCCGATCCAATTCATTTGCATCCCTATTCAATTCCGAACCTTATGAAAATTCACCTTAGGAATCATTAACAAAAGTTTATAACCAAACAACCCCTAAATGGTCAATCATCCTTATTAAATGTTTTTTTATTAAAAATATAACATAGGAGATGGGACTATAAGGATAAGGTAAAAAAAGACATTGGTGCTAACTAAGCACCTATCGTGACAATACACGAGTCGTCGGTTCTTGACATGCATACACTTAACATGTCACCTCAAGAACCACCTCGTCTACCTCAAACTTAACAATCTCCTCGTATCTGACCACGTTAGCACTTTTAAGTACAACTCGGTGACAGAGTTGAACCATAGAAAACAAATGGCAATGATCAATGAACCACCTATTGGCGCTATGGCACAGTAAAATAAGTGTTTAGAGCAAGGTTTTTAAAATCAAACTGGACAATGAACCGGTTAAAGGTCCGGTTCTTGGTCTGATAAAAAATAAAAAATTAAAAAAAATAAAAACAGCCAAAATCTCTAAACGGTTCGAACGCCTGAGTCAATGGTTTGCTGACCAAGTTAATGTTTTGAGGCAAATTAACGGTTTTGGAGTAAAATGGAACCAGTCACCGGTTTTTCGGTCCGACTGTCCGATCCCATCTGATTTTGAAAACCATGGTACAGAGATCTCAGACTCAAGTTGCAAGCCAACTAGAAAGTATTCCCCTATAAATAGGTATGCATTTATTCTTTTAGCCAAGGCATCAATCACACTTTTCACCTCACACAACCTCATACTTGCTCACCTCATCTCATCTCCAATTCATTTGACTTGACTGTCGGAGTCCTCACCCTGGAATATTACCCCCGGCCGTCCAACTAGATGACTACGATTACAAGAGCATACGAGGTCCAATGTGTGCACCAAATCATATTCCTTCTTAGTGGTGACCCTTTAGAACATCATCAATTGGCGTCCTTTTAAGGAAAGTTTGAATGAAATGTCAATTTCCCTCTCTTTCATGAGAATGTCGAACTATAAACAACCCAAAATCCCTCCATACAGATCTCATTATGCCTCTTCCCCATGGAGGCAACCACCCCTCCCAACATCCACATCACAACCAAAAGGGGTTACTGATGAGCAATTTGATACTTTAATGAATATGGTGTAAGATCTCTCAATAAGGTTGCAGGAATGAAAGTAGCTTAAGGAAGATCCATCTTCACTGCATCGCAATGAGGGCCACATCACCCATTAGGCAACAATCCTCCAATTCACGTCCTACCAGCAATGTGCACCACTCCTCAAAGAAAAGGAGTGTAGATACCTCATTTTTGTGCCCTTTAGTATTTCTACAACACTTCAAACTTCAAACATTCTTCAGCTAACCTCTCAATCAAATATGAGGCATTTTTGGAATTTTATAAAAGTTTGGACCTCTAAGATCCAATACCATTGGTGCATAGAGCCCAAAAATTCCAAGTCCAATGATACCAAAATCACCCAAATTCGATATTGTATACTCCCCGTCCTAAGACCCAAAGCCAGAACCAATTTTGATTGTCCGATCAGGGTCATTTTGATCCTAAAATCGTCAAATTGTAACACCGTTAACCCCTTCATCTTGACAGCCGAAACTAAATTCAATCTAGATCATCCATTTAGAATCTTCTTCACTACAACTTCGAACCTAGGGACTCATATGACCAAATACTTCTCCTATACTCTATAACCATCTTAAAATTGAAAATTTAACTAGCTAAGGAGTCTCCAATCAATCAAGCCAATCACCTAAACTTGGAATTTTCAATTTAAGCAAATTTGTAAAACATTCCACTTGCTGTATTGATTAATTGAGAAGATCTCTCACATAGTTGTCATGTCAGCCTTTTTCTCACATTTAATCTTCCTCCAAAACTATATTAAACATTATCCATTGATCTCCCTAAACTCAAACCTTAGCTCTCCATTCCCTTTTAGAATCTGATGTTGTCTGATCCAAGGTGTCCTGAATCGAGGAAGCAGTAAGATAATCTTGCCATCTGAACGAGGTTGAGGTGGAAGGACAAAGTTGTGCACTGGGATATGCAACCAAGAGGGAAAGTCAGAAGCCCGAGGAGTTGTTCCCCAAGTAGGCACTCCAACACTCAAGTTAGTTGAATGGAAAGGTAGATGGTCGGGCGAGAAAGTGAGAATGGTGGTGGTCTGAGCAAAAGAGGTGGGTGCAAGAATACTAAGTCCCAAAGTCCTTTACCTTGAGCGAAAATTACCTATTTATAGCTAGATGTTCGTGTTTTAGTCAAATGAGGCTTCCGAGATTGTCAAGATGAGGTCCTCCACCGAGGTCTTTGGGATAACTCTTCCCTAACGGAGTTAAGTTCCCGATCTGTGCAGGACACTCTTTATTGGCTATGATTATTTGTTGTGCATGGCGTTGACATGGCTAGAGAGAGACGATGGCCACAGAGGCCACCACATGGAATTTTGATCTAGCTCGACCATAACCCAAACAACACTCCCCCAGTTCTGAAGTTGATGACTATAGTGCACGGCCTCGACTAGGCGTGGAAGAGCTTTGCAATTTTCGGATGAGAAACTTAAAAATTTCTCCTTGGGTTGAGTGGTTCAGAGCATGGTCGATCCATTTGTTGGACCAGCTGGTTCAATGCTTATAACATTTCCAAGGCGGGTCGGAAGATGCATCGTTTCGTCTTCCCAAGGTCACGCATGTGTGGAGTGCGGCGCTGAATCGACGCCATCGGATTAACTTGATCTGGGCCATTGGTTGGCCTTATAAAAGGGGGTGAAGAGCCATTTCACTTTGTCATTTGCAAAGAATCAACTCTCTGGAGTTCGGCGATAAATAGTCCTTGGCTGGTGCTTTGATAATTCTGCGGTGTAATCCCTTCATTCTTCCTGATAAGATGTCTTCATCTTCTTCGTCATCTTGTTCTAACAATTCCTCCTCTTCATCTAGTTTGTCGAGTAGTGAGTCCGAGCCGGGGTCTCATGTCGAGGTTGTCGCGCTCATGGTCCATGAGACCGATGGCCACGGTGTCGAGGTCGACAGGCTCGGTGGTGAGGTTGCAGCGATGGAGAAGGCTGTGATCTGGAGGACTGAGGTCGATGATGCCAAAGTAGAGATTATGTCATGTGAGGGGCCCAACACCCCTGCACAGCTCAACAGCTGCTTTGCATCCACTCCTTGTTGTTTGACTCTAGGGGACTTGGCTCGAATCAAGGCCCTGTATTGTATTCCTATAGAGTACAAGCTGAGGTGCCTAATCGCTGGTGAGCGTGCTACCTTGGCTCAACTTGGTGAGCACTACGCCTATAAGCACAGCTTGATAGTCGGGTTACGATTTCCTTTGAGCGAGGCTATCACCATGGTGCTGAGGCAGTACCACATCTAGTCGGTCCAGCTAATGCCCAACTCTTTTAGGTACTTCCTCGGCCTTCTTTTCTATTGATCGGTCCACGACATAGACATTACCCTGTCGATGTTCGCTTATTTCTTGCACTGGAAGAAGCACCGACGGGGTTATTACTATTTCTCTACTTGGCAACATAACAAAGTGCTTATCAGGGCTCTCGCCTCGGTGAAGCACTGGAAGGAGAGATTTTTTTGTTAGACAGTGTATGCCCTTAGCTCCAATCAGAATGATGTACACTATGACATTTAATGTAAATGAATAAATTATATATTTGATTCATGTTATTATGGTGTGTTTCTATGTAATACCCTTAAACTAGAAACATATAAGACTCGTGTTAGTTTAGAATCTTCACAGTCATTGGACAGATCTGGGGAGATTTATCCTGCCAAGGCTGACACTGATGTGCCACCAAGTTGGTTGGGGTGGCTTGTCTCAACTGCTAGGGTGAGACCTGAAGTACATGCAGTGTGGGTTTTCATGAAACTCTGAACCGGACCAAAATTCTAGTATTGTCCTAAACATTGGAAATAGATGGGCAAAACTGGAATATTACACCTGATCCATAGACTCGATTATGATACTACACTAGGTGTCGGATTAGGCTGTGTTTGATATGCCAATCAGTGAGATCCTTAGAAAGGGTCAAAACCTGGGTATGTTGGGGCAGTCCGAGAATTCATCTGAGTGGGTGATCATAGTGACAGGATCAGCCCCTTTGTCAGACAAAGTGAATGATTGGGGATGCACTCTCTCTAATGAAAACCAAAACTGCCGGCAATCGATTTCAACCGTTGAAATTTGTTTTGCAAAATATATATATATATATATTATGGTTTCAAAATGTTTGCAAAAGGTCTTAATTCCCAGGATCCATGTGAGTAAAGAGTGTAGTACTGTACCTTGCAGCCGAGGGAGAGGTCCTCTCTTG